AATGGAAGGAAAAAAAATCACGACACTATGCTAAATTATAATGACAATTGGGGCCAGGATGTATGTGTTTGCTTTTGGCAATACTGAAAATTCCAAAAAAATGAATTTTTTTTGAAACCGAACCAATAAGTTATTCAAAAATCAAACCAAAAAAATGAATTTGGTTTAGTGTTAATGGTTTTTTGTTTTTATTTTTTTGGTTTTGATATTAACCAAATATATTTTGATTCGATTTTGGTTGAGTTTTTTAAAAATTGAAAACTTAAAATAAGTATCTTAAAAATTAAAATTATGATAAATATAACAAAATATAATAAAATATGTGATAAAATATAATATATTATTAAAAAAATAATTTATTAATATTTATTTATCAAAAATTGAAATCGAATCAATTTTATTAATAACCAAACTGATTGATTTGTGATAATTTTGGTTGGATTTCAATTCTTAAAATTAAAGAAAAAATTTTCAATTATTTTAAAACTAGTTTCAATTTTAACCAAAAACCGATTTTGCCTGCCCTAGTACTCCCAAGGAACCAAACAAAAATTCAAAGGCAAAACCATAAGTTAAGCCCCTGAACTAATCTCAGAATCACTATTAAGCCCCTAGACTTTAATTAATCCATATAAGCCCTTCTTCTCACGCCAACTTAACTGCCGTTTGGGATTGCTTGCCTGACTTAACTGCCGTTGAGGACACACCCCGCTTGGCTGCTTGGATGGCAATTGGCAAAGTATTGCGTCCAAGGGAAAAGGCAAGTTTCATGTGCACCTGCTCGCATTGCTGGTGACATATTCAAATGATATTCTCAATGTGTCACCTCATCAAAAATTTTTCATCTCATTAGTTATGTCAGCTCATTCAACGGTAAAAATAATGATATGATATATTGTAATTTGTTGAGAATACCTGATATTTCTAAGATACATTAGAATTTTTTCATTGAAAGGCTCCAAGTTTTCTTTTTTAATTAATGATTTATAGTTTTTTTAATTTTAAATTATATAATAAAATATAATTTTATTTTATTTATTATATTATCTTACATATATATTGTAATTTAAAAATATTATTAAATTATTTAAATTATTAATAAAAACCTATAAATTTCTTCCTAAACTTTTATAATTGAATCAGTTAGGCGAATCATGCAAATTAGCCTTTAAACATGTCAAGAGATGGCAAAAAAAACCCCTCAACTGAAATCAGTAACAAATGACCATTAAACTCATGAATGGCAATAAATCAACCTTTATTGAACGATCATGTTAATATTCCGTTAAAAACTAACGGTTCTCTAGTATGAATGGGTCCCACAGCATACTTGTACGCAATGTGATCCATCGAAATCTGACATGACCTTTTATATCATTAAATCATTAGTATTTTTGAATTTTTCTTAAATATTTAATTAAAATTTAATTACTTATAATGGAAATTAATTGGATTAGTTAAATCTCAATTATTACTTTATCAAGCAAACAAGAATTGAAAATTTTATGCACTGTAAGATGATTTTACAACTAAATAAATCTTTTTTTATTCATAAAAATCATCTCAATTTAAAATTATGAGAAATCAATTATAAATTTAAAATTAAAAAAAAGTAGTTTGAAGAAAGAGAAATTGAGAAATACAAAAAATTACATAAATTAACTTTTTTTTATATAAATTAACTTTTCAAATGTGTATTAATTACATCTAGATTAGACAAATAATTATTGAATTTATTTATCTTTTTTTTGCCACTTATTTTTAAGCAATTTTTTAATGTCTTCTAAAAATATAAGTTTAAAATGTATTTACTTTTTA